GGGTGGCATGTGATGTGACTCTAATCTGGTTACAGTTGCTCAGATTGGCCTAGACTTAATACTGTCCTAAACGAAAGTCTGTTCAACAATTACAAAATACACTTTAGTATAGTTTGTTTTAATTACAACCTGAATAGAAATATACTTGTTACCACCTGTAGGACACATAATTAGTACTAAAATAGTTTTAATTGTCTTTTTCCCTGATATTTGTGCTCATACAAACGTATTATGGATACATTCAACTTGTGATTTTCTTAAACCAAGTGTAAATGACTTGTTCTACTAAATTCTGATGCTAAATGCTTAACAACTCTCTGCTGTAGATTAAGATTTTACGCTAAATTTGTGTTTTGGTTCAATCCTACAGGTCTTCTTCAGGGCTGGAACCTAAACTGCAGAGGTAACGAGAAACGGCCGCATACAAATAATCATTTTGGCCATGTGATGTTCCGATTAATAAAATCAGGGAGTTCATTAAAGACTCATTTCTTCTGAAGATTCTGATAAATGTAATGCCAACAAATTAAATAATCAACTTTATGATTTATGTCAGCTGATTTCTGACTGTGATTTTGTTCTTCCTTCTCATATGATTTAAACGTTGTATTTGTCCAATGAATTCAGGGATTATGCCTTTGGGAAAGTTCAATAACAAATCATGCTTGAAGAAGAGGCGATGGATATCCCAGGAATTATGATTCATTAAGTTACACTGCAGGCTACAACTAAGAACGTTTAGTATAGACTTATACAAATTGGTACCATTTTAAAGTATGCCAAACTTTCTATTGGCAACTCCTGTTTGCAATGTATCACCAAAATGGACATAACGAAATCTACAGGACATGCAACCAACAATATGTTTCTTTGTCCACATTTGAAAGTACAAGAGGGTATTTTCACCTTTGCAGGCTCACGTAAGAAAATATGTCTAACCCGTTTCAAGATGGCTATCTAAAGGCAAGGTTTGTTTTCTTAAACCTTTGCATATTTAACCTTCCAGACCATGTTGTCAGTTAGACAGAGTCGGGAGCTTGGGAGTAATATTCTGAGAGAAATTAAATGTTCATGTTGGTTTTTCAATTACGGGTATTTTGTGTGTGTTTCTTTGTGTCCTGGGATTGTAAGATTGTTTTTTTGATTACTATGATAGTTTGTTATTTAAAGGGGACCTATCATGCAAAATGCACTTTGTGATGTCTTTTATACATAAATATGTGTCCCCGGTGCGTCGGGTAACTCACGCAGCGTCAGAAAATAAAATCCTCTCTCTTTTCCTCCGTACCCAAATCTTTTAAAAACGGGTGTACAACGAGTGGATACAGATTTGCTGCCGATATGACGTCAAATCTGCGGCGGACCCACAGAGAGTTGCTATCAGAAACAATGCCTGACGTTTTTTGGACGTAATCTCGTCTTTGTTTACATTAGCAAGCCTCGCTAACACTCAGCGCTAACCTGTACTGTGTAGAGCACATGTGTTTTTTAAAAAGCAGGAAATAAAAAAAGAACTCGCCTTGTGATAAACCCGCAAGAGAAAACGTATTTGAGCTCCATACTGTTTCAGAAATAATCCTTGATGTGGTTTAGAACAGGATGGCGTTTTATCACAGCAGAATTAACTTTATCTCCGGTAGAATTCTGATCAGGCATTAGCTCCGCCTCCTCTTTTTTTTTTTTTTTTTAAAGTACCCAAAATCTGCATTTCTCTAACAGGGCTGCAAAAGAGGGGTATGAGCAGTATGAGGCGCGGCTGCAATGGAGGATCTGTTTGGTATTTTAAGCAAAAAACTTCACAGACATGTTTTGTATAGGTATGACCCTACAATATATGTTTCCAATATAGCATGATAGGTCCACTTTAAACGAGGCTCATGGACTCCAGAGGATTTCTTTTAGCCTTTTGTACTATCAAGTCATTTTTGTTGAATTTGCCACTGACTTTCACCCCAGCTTTAGAATAGCTACAGGCTGTTTTGCAAACGGCACACTATCATCCGCTAAATCTATTTTTTTTTCCAGAAAAGCATAAGTGCCATGTGATTTTCAGCTTTTATTCATTTTTTTGTGCACGCCTGCCCAGAAGTAGTGTTTGGTAAAATAATCAAACAGTTCTCCTCGTTAATTCAACTCAGCTTGATTTGCATTTACAAGCCATCTGTTATTCGTAAGTTTCCTGTCTTTGGCAACAAGTCGTGGTGACGTGTAAGAATGTGCTGTTGCTAAATAACGGTTTTTTAAATTTATTTATTAATATTTTGGATTATATTTTTACGTCTGAGTAGTAACTTGTTTTCCAAATTGCCCATGTTGCACTTCTGAGAAATCCTGAGGATTACACGCCACTAAACCTAATCACTTCCACCTGATCAGGGAGGAAATCTTTCCATTCTTGTCTCATCACGACAGCAGTCTCCTTTTTGTTTGCTTTCAGCTTTCCTTATCTTTCTCCATAGCAAACTGCCCCCCCCCCCCCCCCCCCCCCCCCCCCCCCCCCCTTACTACCAGATGACACCTTTTAACAAATATTTACATACCCAGATAACTTGTGTAAGAAACGCCAACCCAACAATGTCAAGTTGTGATATATTTTTAATTGGGTGAGGAATACCCTGCAGGGACCTACGTGATGTCCTCCTTTAGATTTTCTTTAACTACACACGGACGCTTTAATTAAGACTTGCCAAGCTGAGAATTACTGACGCGTAGTATTATAGCTTCTTTCACACATGTCACATTTCCACTACATGGCACGGATCTTCTTGACTTATTTTTGGTACAAGGTACTTTTCAGAATCTCGTTTTCCACTGCAGATCATAACGCTTCTCTGTGATCAGCTGTTTGCTATAATGGCAATACTTGAGACTCATCCTATCATTTCTTTTTTATCGTCCCAATGGGGAAAATGTAGCTTCAAAAATGCTTAAAGGTAGGGTAGGTAAGAATGGAGAAACCAGCTCGAGTGCGCTAGAATTTGAAAATACACAGCCGGGAAAAATCTGTCCCTTCCTTCAGACTTCCTCACAGAGTCCCTCCTCCAACACACACGAACGCACACATGACCAATGAGGGCACGAGATGAGTTTGTGCCCAGATGGAAGGCTGACAGGCAGGTAGGCCATCCAGTTACTTTAGCCGGCTCAGATGATTGGTCGTGCTTTTTACAGCACCACGGCTTCCACAGGTGACATTTTTTATGTATTTATTGTTAAAGCATTTAATGCAGGGGTGCCCAACCTTTTTTGAACCGAGAGCTACTTTTAAAGTTCCCAGTCTGCCGAGATCTACCAGTCCAAATAGAGAGGCGTAGCCATTACTGACAGCCTACTACCAGGTAAATACACACTTCTACTTGTATAAAACTGACCTTTGTACGATTAATACTTCATAAAATACTGCAGATCCTTTATCTTACCTCTTCTTAATCTACACACATACAAGTATTTAACTGAAGTTACACAACAGTGTTGTTGATACAGAGTTGGAGTTTATTCACACGTCACTACAGTGGGTAATGTTTTTCAAGAAACATTGAACAGTTGCTGCCCACATATGAGACAGGGAAACAAGAAAAGACTCTGAACCCTTACTTTGCCATTATATAAAAATAGTGTTGCTACAAAAGTATAAATGAGGCTTACTAATAAGACAACTCAGATCTGAAGCTACACAGGAATCTGCTGCCAAAGTGCAATAAAAAAGACAAAATTAATAGAATCAAACCCTTTTTGTTGCATTTTAGTAGAGTATAAAAAGAAATGCCTTTTTTAAAATAGGATGCAAGCAACACTAGTTTCTTAACCTGAATTGATAATAGACTATAATCAATTTAAGTTTGCATTCTTATACCATTTTGTACAATAATTATAATGAATAAGTTCAAACTTACAGCTGATTAATAACCGGTATCTAACTTGAGTTTTTATTATATCAAAAACCGTTGAAAATGCTACTGTTATTTTTTACTGTCCCCAAAAAGCGCGTCGGCAGCCTCAGGAATGCTTCTTTTCACAACTTCGCCGTCTTGAAAGACTTCATGTGTTTTCGCCAAGAACGTGACTGACACGATAAGATGCTCTGGTAGTCTTGCTCTTGTTGTTGGGCCTGTGGATGAAAATGGACTGCTGTGCATTTAGCGGTCCTTCAGGCCCCTCCCCTTTTGGGAGCGTAGGGCAGAATTAGAGAGGGAATTCCGTCTCGGAGCGTTTATGCACGGTTTGTGAAATTGCCGCTCCTAAATTACCCTTCTTCGTTAAAGCCATTGCAGATGAGACAGATGGACTTTGAATTGGCATAATACGATACAAAAATAATCATCTCCCACTCGGAGTGAAAATTATATATTTTGGGCTTTTTTTGCTTCTGCCATAATTGCGCGTCTTGTGTTGTGTGTGGACTGTCACTTCCTGTTGACACGGACAACGTCAGCGAAATAGTGCCCACTGCCCACCAGCCACGCCCCGACACATGGGGTCATGCCGGCCAATCACAAAGCTTTGATGCGTTCAAGTGCATTATTCTGGCACAGGAAGATTATGTTACAGGACATTAACGATAAAACTGAATATTATTGTTCTATTTTTAGACACCTCTCGCAATCGACTGGTTCGGCACCCCAGATTTAATGTATTCATTGCTATCGGGATGTTAAGAGCATTCCATGGAATATAACAAAGTGTTTCTGAAGTGAATTACCTACCCTACCTTTTAATGTGTACAATTGTAGTTTTAAATGCATCATCAGCTGCGTCTTCTTTCAACGTGGAACCTCATTTCAAGTCAGCCAGACTTAACCCTTTAGGTCCCATCTTGCACTTTTTACTTCTCTTCATTCACAGCACTGACGTCCTGCGTATCCTTCCCTGAGGTTTTGTAGACTCTTCAACTCTCAAACTTCATTCCTTGGTAATCGGATGCTATCTGTCACTTTCCCTTGTCTTTCTTTTCTGGGCTGACTAAACTCTTTCTTCCCTGCTTTCTCTTGTTTCCTCCACAGATGTACTTCTCCTTCTAAAGCTCAGCCTCATCCCTCTGATGCAATTCCCAACAGGCAAGTCCTCTCTGCTCGCTGTGCTTTCCTCCTTTATTTACTTTCACCCACTTTTTTTAGTTCACTCCCTGCCCTTGTATGCATGTAAGAAGCTGTAGATGTTAACTTAACATAGGATGCTTGTGAGTTTGTAATTTAACACTAAATGGTTTGGCTTTACTTGTTATTGCATTGTGACTCACATGTGATTGTTCTTGTAGAGTAGATTGAGATGAATTTACAACATGTTAGTATTGTAGGAATAATGATTCTCCTCAGTGATTGACAAACAATCATGAATTGATCATACTTAACAAAACTGTGTAAAGGATCTTTGAGAGGAATCATTATCTACTATAATTTAACAGTTTGTGTTTTGATTGAGCATGGTATATTAGCGCCAGACCTGGGACAAAGACATATTTACACCATGCATCAAACCAGGGTGGTGTAAATTACAGACCACCAGACAAATGCTGCCACATCTTGACCTGAAGACAGTCCTGCTTTACAAAGTCCTTTTTCTATGCCCAAAACATAGCTGATTGCCCTAAACACACATAACCTTCCCTACCTGATGTGCACTTTATTTACCTTCAACACTCAAGACCTAGTCTTTTTGAATAGGACCATTATTTACAAAATGAACATCATTAAACTAGACATTCAAACATAAACTCATCGGGAAACCTCTGGAATTAAATCCAGGAAAAGGTACGGTAGTTTTCTTATAGGCTTCTATACAATCACACTACTGTTTTTGCAACCAGGCGATCACATGACCAGCACTCAAGCCAATCTTATAAATGCGTATCATGGTTTAATTTATATCAAAATAAATCAATCTCGGATTAACTATCAGTCCTTAAACAATTTATATGTATCAGATACAACAAGATTATTTTAGCATGATGTCAACCTAATTTAGTTCAAATTCAGTCCTTGTTAAAAAAAAATAGTAATGTTTTCTTGACTGTATCAAAAAAAGTTTAAAATGAACAAAACTGTCAGTCATTTCCTAAAAGGTATGTGAACTGTCTACCAGCCACCTCTTTTAGCAGCACTTGTCTGGTTGTTTTTCTTAAAGTGTTTGTAGGATTTGTTCTACCCAGGTGTGGTGCACTGTAAGGAATGGAGTATGTCTTTGATATGTGCTGTATTGCATTCTTCCTCCTCCCTCTCTACTCAAGCACTTGGGCAGAAGGGTGATTCCCCTGCTCCCATCTCTCCTCTCTCTCCTCTTCACTCCCCCCGACTCTCTGGAGGAGCTTTCTCTGAGCGAGAGTCCCAACCAGCCCCCTACTTCGGGATTCGCTGCATCCTTTGCCTCCTACTCCACTGCACCCCCCACTAATCAGTCCAAGGACATGCCTTGGGTCGGTGAAGAGGGTGACTCTGGACCGGGTCGTAGTAAGATTAAGGAAGATTCCTTAACTGGTCCTTACCTGAGTTTAGGGAAAGACCCAGGGCCTCATAATCCGTGTGAAGACAGCGGCGTGTCTTTCTCACCCGAGGAGAAGATGATCAGCTCAGACAGGTCCTCCACTGGCCCTTCCCCCGTGAACCCCCAGATGAAGGTACCCGAGTCTCACCTTGCCTCCTCTAACCCAACAGAGCACTGGGATTCACCGTTTTCTAGCATCCCAAGACGACTCCAAGGCCTCAATGGATACCTTCTCCAAGGACTCGGCTCCCATTAGCTCTACCAGGTATGAGGCAGACAACCAGTCTGATGACGATGATGATCTGATGTATGAGGTGAAGAAAAACAACAACCCATTTGAGGGCTATTCCCCCACTGGCGGACAGCGGCTACTCCAATTTTGGAGATTCCAAGTCCGACAGCAAGCCTTCAAAAATGTCCGAGTCCCCTACTCCTGATCTGGTCCAGTATGGTGTGAGTGGAGAATTCCAGGATACCCCACTATCTTTCTTAGACAAGGGGGAAAAGTTTGAGACTGGAAAGATGGCCGCTGATTCGCTCATGCAGTCAGTGAATCAGTTCTCATCTGACCTGAAAGATGACGATGAAGAGGATTCTCCTCTACCGACATCGCTTCCAGACATCCTGAAGACTTCCCCGCTCAACCCAGAGAAACTGGACTCCGGCTCCTCCGAGGGAAGCCCGGAGCAGAGTCCCATTCTTGAACGGAGGATGATGGAGTCTCCCAACCCTCCAATCAATCTGTCGGTCAACAATCCGTTTGCCTTTGATGCCAAAGTGTCCCTGCTGAAGGAGATGACTGAGCAGTTGGAAGTGAAGTCGACCGACAAACCCAAAGTCGAAGACGACCAAAGCTTTGGCGCATTCAATCTTGTCAAAGAGATGGAGGAAACAACCCCAACCTAAGGTCAAAGAGGAAGAACCGGTTACGATTGAGCAGAAAGATTGGTTTGCAAGCCAAGATTCTCTCAAAATGACCGAAAAGTTTGAGCCTCTTGACTTTCAGAGCAAGAAAAAACCCCGCTGAGGATTCGGATTCAGAGTCGCCAACAGCAGACTCCCTGTCTCCAGTCCTGGAAGCCATGGCCAAGAACCCCGCTAGCTTCCAGGTGGAAACAGAGAAGATGGACCAGAAGATGATGGAGGTTGAGGAGCCAGAGATGGCAGAGGAAGTGTCCGAGCATGAAGTGTCCTCTGAGGAGTTTGAGTTCATCGAGCGACCACCAAGGGGCGTCATTGACGAGTTTCTTGAGGCTCTGGATACTTCCAAGTTTGCCTCCTCCAAGCCCCCAGAGATCCCCATGGATGATGATCTAAGCTTCGGGCACCGAGACGTGGCTCCAGCTCCCCCTGAGGTCAAAGAGGAGGCTCCAAGCCAGAGCTCCTACCGCCTCCTCACCCAGGACTCCCCCCAGAAGAGCAAGGCCGAGCTGGAGAAGCTTGACATTCAGCAGCCACCATCCCAAGCTCCGCTCACCCACTCCCCTGTTCGCAAACCAGAAGAGGCAGTCGCTAAGAAGAGCATGTTTACGATGCCAAGCGTGAACATAAGAGCAGGTAAAATAAACCAGCATGGAAACATCCCCCCACCCCTCCACATCCTCCTCAGTTTTCACCGGCTCTTCCATATCCATCGGCATCATTTTCATCTTCACTCCTTTGTTCTCCTGAGTTATTTTCTTCCAACCAACCAGCAGCCAGTATTCCACTTTAAATTCCATCTCTTTCCTCTCACCTTTCCTTTCTTGCATCGTCCCCTTCTTGTTTTTCTCTGCATATTCTTTGAAAGTTAACCCTCGCATTTTGTTACGTCTGGTTTAATTTCTGTGTTTTTTTTTGCTGCATTTTGTGCATTTCTTTCATTCAAATAACATCATATTCTTTGCACCTGTTCACTTTATTTTTACATGTTAAGATGTGGTAAGTAAATTGTGATATTTTCACTTCTCCTGTTCCAATTATCAGCCACTTTGTTATATTTTTAAATGCACAAAAAGGTATTTAAGATACTTAATGCACAATGAGCAGGAATTGTGGGATACAAACACGTGTACAGTCACTCTTTCTTAGAGTTGGATTACCTCTCAGTCTGCTTTTAACTTCTCTCGGTTCTAGAAATAACTCGAGATGCCAAACTGAAACCAAACACCGTCTTGTAGCCCCAGACACCTACTCACAACTCTGCATACACAGCTACCAGCCGCACCCTGGTATTGCGATTTTAGAATCTCTCCCACATGATAACATAATTGCATCAGTTGTATACACCTGAGGATAAATACTGAACATCAATCTCTGTCAAACTACTAAAGCTGTAGGACTTTAGACGCTGGTGAACTTTCTAGTTGGTAGTAACCACTGAAAATATTTACCTAGGTATACATTATTTTGACCTAAGGACTTTGTTTAACTGCTGGATAAGTGATATATTAAGCTATAAGGTGGTTTAAGGTTTAAGGCAGGTATAAGGCAGTCAAAATGAATGAATGCAATTTTCATTTTGCATATTTAAGACCTTAATCTTGACAATTTCTTCATTTTGTTCTCAGTAAATGACCCATGTCCCTTGGCTATTTACTAAGTATAACATTCACCTACACCTGGCTGCGTTCATACTTAAGTTTTCATTTGTTAAATCAAGTCAAACTGGCTAATATTTGCTTGTTCGAATTAGGAGTTGCATACTTTTCTCTCCATTTATGTCAGTAATCTGAATCTCTTTGGACAACAGATATTCAAAGATAATTCTATTCTATTACATTTTTAAACTATCATGAAAATAATCAGCACGAAGGATGAATGGTGAGTTTTTTTTGTTGCAAGATGTATTTCCACTGTTGTCGACAGAACTCCTGCAATTGATGGAAAGAGTCCAAGTTTTAAAATCTTTTAATTTGTGATGTTAAACCTGAGTGTTTGCAGTAGATCTTGTGGCATTCGTGTTTGAATAAATCTTTGATGTAAATGATTTCACATGGATTGTCAGACAGATGCCTTCTTCAGGCTTTTAGAAAGTGATGAATGACCCTCTGAAGACAACAGCACTGCTTAGTCTTCAGTTAAATGGATGACTCAGTTTTTTTCCAGAGCTGATATTGATCAGTTAACACACACACATATTTATGCAGTGTTGCAGACATACTGTGTAACTGGAGCAGTAGGACTTTGCTCTGTAACTGTGTGTGTGTTGGAGGGATCTCCTGTTAATTAAAGCCGCCTCCTCCTCCTTCTCCTCCCTGCATTGCGACACTGGCAGGCCCACAAAGGGTTCTCCGACCCAGAAACACTCGGCAAACGTTCTTCATTAAACAAACCAAGGTGCAGGGCTGCATTAAAACATAAATCTCCTCCATGCTGACGGCAGCTCTCTTCATCAGAGCTTTTCTCTACCAATCCAAATAAGTTATCCTAATGATATTTAACCATATTGCCCTGTTGACGTTTATCACTAACCCTGATCTGTGAGGCCAGCGTTAAGGAATGTGCTCCAGCACTTAGCCCCAGTTTTATGACCGGTCAACTCTCGGTCACAGAGCCAAAGAGTCAGATAAGTGATTCAGTGTCTCCAGGTGTTCACGTATACCTTCCCCCAATATGTGGGTTGACTTTCTGTAAACTAGTTAAAGGGTCTACCAAGATGTGAGGCTGATCAGAATTGACATGACAACCCACCCGTGCAGTCAGAACCTTTTGCTGCTGTGACTTGTGATATGAATTCTCCGGCCGTATCCATGCAATAAACTATCATTGTTTGACATCAAAGCTCCAACTCTCCTCGTGTCTCTCTGAGTCCTGACTCTCCATTGCTGCAGAAGTTTCCCTTACACCTTTCTTTACTCATCACATTTCCTTTTTATAAATAGCTTCACGAAATGGCCACATAGGGTTATTTTTAGGGCTGCAACTAACCTTTTAAAAAAAAAAAAAATGTATTCAATATTTAGATTCTTAGTTTGGTCTTTTATTTCAATTAATATAAGAACATATAACTCAACTTTGTTTGGATAGCAACAAGTCAGATGCAGCACAAGATTCTTTACAATAAGAAACAATGGAAATAACCAAAGTGATAGAAAGCCATAATCAGCAGACAATATAACAAACTAGATCAAAATGGAATAATTGTATGTGAAGTATTTCAATAAGGTCCGGCAGCGCAACATTTTTAGCAAAAGGGGATTTCATTTTGTGTAATTAATTGAAATCAAAGTTTATCAACAATTATTTCAGACCTTACCTTGCACCCCAACACTGGGATGAATCTTTAAATAATAAAGAGCAACATGATTAAAAAATGATTAGAAATGTAAGTTTGAAGCATGTTCTTTAAATAAACAATTGTATAACAAAGTTGTAAGATATAAACAAATGCCCGAGGTAATATCTGGCATTTGTTGGAAAATCAGCCTAAAGGTTGGTACACACCAAGCCGATTTTCGGCGTCGATAGATGTCTGGCCGTCGATGAGCGTCCTGTCGCCCAACTCAGATTGTTGTGTCCTGCCCCGTCGTATCTTTTCGGCCGTGCCGACACTTTCCGCCGCCGATTCGGTAGGAAGTTGGCTACAGAAATCTCTCTGATTGGCTGTTCAGCTAGCGAATGAGAAGCGAAACAAAAGTGAGGGACCCAAACAAACTATTAAGAAGGCAAATCTGAGATTTCATTGAACTCCAGCTCTCGACACAGGTTCGGGAAAGCCCCGTGAGCTTCTCGCTGTAGAGTGAAAATGGAACGCACGCTATTTGTTTGTTTATATCACGCAGTCTGTTCTTCTTCTCTCGGTTATCACGCAGTCTGTCTTCCAGTTGTTGCCTCTTTTGCATGACGAATACACACTACCGCCGCCTGCTGGTAAGGAGAGTTATTGCCACTCACGCATGCGCAGTTCGTACGTGCTACTTGGCCGTCGGCTGAAGTCTTTGCGGTGTGATCCAGTGCGACTGTTGGCCAAGACGCAGAGACGGAACAGTCGTGTTCAGTCGGGACGTGTTCTTTGGTGTCAGTTTGGTTTTAAAGAAAACATTTGACGGCTTTAATTTAATCTTATGCAGTTTGATATTTTAAAAACTCCTTTATGGAATTCTTTACATTTATTTTGAAATGGAATAACATGGTGAAATCTATGACTCCTACCCTGCTGAAAAAAACAGCCTGACCAGCCTGACCAGCCTGACCAGCCAGTCAATATTAGGCTGGATCAGTTTGCTGGTTGAGGGGTTTTGGACACTTTAGCTGGTTTGGTCACAGTGGTCTAGCTGGTCAGGAGAGCTGGTTTGGTCACAGTGGTCTAGCTGGTCAGGAGAGCTGGTTTGGTCACAGTGGTCTAGCTGGTCAGGAGAGCTGGTTTGGTCACAGTGGTCTAGCTGGTCAGGAGAGCTGGTTTGGTCACAGTGGTCTAGCTGGTCGGGATAGCTGGTTTAGCTGGTAAAAGCTGGTGGTCAGTGTTCTAGCTGGACACCATTAGCTGGTCAGACTGGTATGATCTTGAGTAGAACTTTAACTGGGATTACTTGATGGTTAAGCTGGTCATATATGATGATGACACACTCACCCAATTGCAGTAGCTCAATGAACATCTATCATTTCAGATCAGAGCACCTACCTTACCAGAAAGATACCAGAATGTATTGTCTGTAAATAAATACTCATACATCAAATGATTAGAAGCAGGAAAATTATTTATAACACACAATGAACATTAACACACATTTGAAAACATTTTCAAAACACCCATTACTTCATATTTTTAAGCAGTTTCCTTCAACTGTTTCTTTCCGCTTTTCACAAGGTCCTGTATTTTTAGTGAAATGTAGTAACCGGCCAACTTCTCCCTCTCGGTCTTCTCCGCGTTTTGTGAATTCAGCCATCCTCTGAAGCACTCTTGAAAAGAGAAAGGAAAAACAGATTAACTTTTAGCTTTGTGTTATGATTACTTAAATATGTGCACTGTGAGATGAAGAAGAAACATTTATCAAATGTAGTCTTGAACATTCACTGTGATTGGGTCTATTATCCACGCAATACACCGTATTTAATTTGTTTCTTAATTTACATTATTTAATTTCATATTCTGTTCTTGTAAATATTATATTTCATGTATATAAACTTTTTGCGCTACTTTTTATTTTGTATTTTATTATATATGTTGCATTGTTGGAGCAGAATTTCATTGACATGTCTACACTGTAGCTGCTGAGCATATGAGAAAACACAGACACTCATCACCGAGGTCACAATATCAATCGATCCAGCAGAGCAATAGCCTATAGGCAAAACCCAGAAGATCAACAAAAGATATGACGTAAAATGAACTTACCAAAGCTGAAGTAGATGGTCAACTTCATTCACTTTCTTTCTGTTTTAATCGCTATCCGCTCCTCTCTCTCGTCGTCTCTTCACTACAGGGTGAAAACTACACTTTTCGCGGCACACGTACTTACAGCCAATCAGCTCTCTGAATTATGAGATGACGTTTGGTAGGTATGTCAGCACAGTGCCCCTATGGTGATTTTTTTTTTTGCTGCACACATTGAATAGAAAAAGACTCTGAGCATGCG